TTCTATATGGTTGAGGCGGATTCATGTTTCGAAAACCTTTTTTTGTGGACTTTAACATTTTTGACATAAAAAACAGAATTTATTCACGTTTTTTAATACAGATTGATTTCGTTTTAGTTCAATTCCTAAAATTATTGAAAATTGAAATGCATGTTAACCAATAGGTATAGACATTTTTTTGTTTTTTTATGTATAACTGGTATTGTGACTTTAATTCTTTTATTTAACGATTTTGAGGTTTTTCCTATATAACATTTATCACATTGACAAGGAATTTTGTAAATTACGTTTTTCGTATTTTCCATGTATGTTTTATTTTGAAATTTTGCGTTTAATTATAGTTTTGAAGATAGTTCTATTATTGAATTGTTTCTCTCTGAAATCAGGGGYGGATCCAGCTTTCAAGTCAGGCTTTCACATGATGCTGCTTTTTTCGAATTTTCTCAGACCCCATTTGAGCCACAGAATTCGTTTTTTAAGTTAGTAGTTTTGACCCAGAAAGCGAAATTTGAATATCAGACACTTAGGTGCAAGATTATGCCAAAATTCAATGTTTTTCRTCCCGTTTTTGCTTATTTTTARGAAGCAAAGTGAACAAGAACGCTTATTTTTACATTGACCCCATTTCTAAGTGTTGCCATTTACATTTTTCACTTAAAGAGCATCTTTGCWATTTTCCAGTTATTTTATTCTATTGATTTAAGAAAAAGGTTTCAAAGTGTGGTGCTAGTGGAATTTGGGAATTTAAAGCTSATCGAATGTCTYACGTGAATGTGAAAGTCCAKCCTTWAAATTCAAATAGAAGTTGTTTGAAAAACTTGACAAAGGGTGTATTATAAACGGTAAAAAATGCATTAAAGCTACTTAAAACATTATGAAATACCCCGACAAAAAATAAAAGTTTTAAAAGTTTTTCGCGTTATTTACGAAGATGTTCAGGACGAAACAACCAAAAAAAATCTTTATTTTTGTAGAGGTTCGCAATTTTTGAAACCGTTTGATACCCTCTATTTAGGAAAAAGCAAGTGACGCAAACGAAAAAGTTTTATGCAGATATTTAAAATCATTTGCTAAGTATAAGCTTTAAAAGTTTGACGGTTTCTTAACTTTTTGTATTTATTTCCTCAAAAATTTTAAAGGTTGGCCATTTCTGATCAATTTTAAATGGTAAACGATAGTCCTTTAAATCAAGAAATGAAAAAAGTTGTTGTAAATGTTCAGAGGATTTTAAACGTTTTTGAATTATCTGCTCTCGATGGTCGACGCTCTGGTAAAACTAAACATTTTTCCTTCCATCTATTAAGAGATTGGGAATTTCTGATCCAACCTAATGACGGGCTTGGGATATTTTGAAAGGGTTTTTAAATTTTGAAATTTAAAAGCAAAACGTTCAAAATTTAATTGGTGGAATATTGTACGTGAGATGCTCTATCAAAAAGGTCCGAATGACCATTGTGGTTGGTATTTTAATCGTTTCGCTTATAATAAGCTTAAACTTGAGCGCTGCTTTGAAATTCGATATTTTTTCTTCCGACTTTTTGAGGAACTCTTTGGATCTTTGACGCGCACAGACGAATATATCTAAATCAAAATGGCAAAGAAATTCGAGCGACTAAAAGATTTTAAACAATATCTTCTATTAAAAGCTGATTTTTTATTGAAATTCAGTTATCCAAAGTCAAGTTGGGGCGTAAAGAGCCCGGAAAGTGTACATTTTTTAAGTTTTGTACCATCAAAATTGTTATAAGTGGTTAGTAGCTCTCAATATGAAATCCTGGGGTAGATCAGGAAAATTACGTGTACAGATTATCTGGTTAATATTATAACAATCTTTGAAAAACAAATAAATACATCTCATCTAACATGGCAGATAACCATATGTTAATTACACAACACTTACATTATAAGGTTTCTTGCTTGAATTTCTGACCTTTGATAATATTATCGGTATGAAGCCAAAAATCGGAAAAAAACCAATACATTTCAACTTTCAATCAATGCATCATATTAATAAATCAAACCCGAAAAAATCAATTTTTACTATCTGTTTCTCAAAGCTAAACATTCGTGCAACCAGTGACCGATTCAAGCGCATGAAAATCCTCAGCTCGTTTTCAGTGTTGAAAGTGGAGTCAAGTCAATTAAAACTCGCTTAGATCGTACTTGCGCCAGATTCTAAACGGTTTTCAATTGATATTTTGTAAAAGGATCATTAGTTTTGTCGATATTGTTCGAAGGTTCCATGCTGTCTCTCACGTATGCATTCTCCTACTCATAGATATTTCGGTTTTTCTTTGATGCGGGAGAAAAATCGGAAGTCATTTATCATCAATTGCGTCAACTTTCCATGTCGATTATTTTTTTTTGTATCATTTTAATGATTCTGCTTGGTAATTTTCCTATATGTGTACTTGCTCATCGTTGAACTAGTTCAAGGCATTTATTTTGTAATTATTATTATTTCGAACAGTAAGCGAGCAAACCCGATTATGAGATCTTTGAGTCATTTTCTTAGTGTGATAATTTAGCTTATTACACTTTTCTTTCATTTTTCTGACTATGGCCTCTTAAGTTGACTGGTTTGCAGGACATTGAGATGACAATCATAATAATCGTTGAGGATCTTGAATTTTTCAATCAATTTACTTCTCGATTTGTGATCCTGAAGGGTAGTGAAATATAGACATTCTTCTTCGTCATTTCTATGTCTTTGACTCAGTATTCGAGTTTGGGTTTCATAAAAAACTTGGAGAATTCCTATGAAAGGACAATGAATATTCGCTGAGTAAGATGCATAAAAGTATGGGCCTGTTTTGAGATTTCCACACAAGATGTGCAATATCAGTGAACTTTATCATTTGGAAGCGAGAATGACTCAGTTGATATGTTCTAGTACAAACTATTGCAATTTATTATCTGATATATATAAATGGTAATTTTGTTGCTGAAATTTTTGACTTACAAATTTGGCTTGTGGCCTAATTTTGAGGATGCAGTTTTCGTTTTTGGCAAACAGCTTTTGAAGAATTTCTTGAATTCAGTGAATAAAAAATTTATGATAATGCGAAGTTTGCCGGACATAATCAGCAAATCTTCTGGGAAAGTCTGTAAACAGAGGTTTTTGTCGCGGTTATGTTGTGTTATCTTTAGTATCTGATTGAACATTTTCTGATTTGTTTTATACAATGCTTTTAATTTACGCTCAAACTGTTTACTTTACCAGATCCAGGGTCAAATTAAGACTATTTAGTTGTTTCTTATAGACAGCCTGTTCATTTTCACTTGTCTAAGATCGTTAGACTGAGAAATATTTTCCGGAAAAATTTAAGACTTGAATAGTCTCGGTTTCTAACAGCAGCAATGCGATTGGGATGTGGAAATTACATAAAGCCGTAGTTAATAATATTAACTGTTTAAACGTTCAGTTCATTATCAGTTGGATCTTCTCATTTTATCACAGTTTTGCATCCGGCTTTTCTTTTTTTTTTCGTTTCCATCAAATTTCGCTTTGATCGTTTGATTTCTTCTACAAATCATTTGATTCGTTATTCCAAAAACTCTATTCCCAGCAGGAATTCTTATTTTCTAAGGGCATAGGAACCAATGGAAAACTAAAATTTGTAAGCTAAAAATAGCTAGAGCTTTTGTTTCTGATACTTATCTGGTTTCCTCGGGCATCAAGCAGAATTTTTTGACTCTCACGCCTCTCAAACACATAATCTTTATTGGTTTTGACGCGTTGTGAAGACCGTAGAAAATCATTATTTCCATATTAGCCTGCTTTAAAAAATTCTCAAAAAATCCCTGATGAAGTTGAAAAGTCGAAACTATAAAATAGTAAAACGCTCAATTTTCTATCCCGTTTAGTTTTTTCGCTTATCTTTTGGAAAAAGATGCATGAGTACAATGGCGCTTGTCGAACATACCCATTTTAAAAACTGCTCAAAAAATCCTTAATAAATGTAGAAACTAAACTTTGAAGGTTCAAAGAATCGGCTTTTCTCGATAAAATTCTGGAACGTTCAACGTTCTGTAACTTTTGGCTTTTGCATCACAAGTTCAGAAATAGAAGGAAAATGAAGGAAACAGCCGTTGATTTACTAGTCTGAATTTAAAAAATCTCCAAAAACCCTGATGAAGTTGCAAATTCGAAACTTTTACAGTTTGTAGACCTGCTTTTTGTATATAATAATCAATAACGGACAATTTCCCATTGCTTTTAATGAAGTTTGTACAGCTTTAATTTGGCAAAAGACGCCCAAAGGAAACGGCCCTCGCAAAACAAGCCATTTTGAAAAATTTTCAAACAAATTCATTTAGAAAATGGTAAATTTTTGAACTTCTAGACCCGACTCTTCCCTACAAAACTCATAAACACCCACGAGCTGAGGAAAAGATGGGTTGTTGGATGGACTAACAAGCCTATGATAAAAAATCTTCAAAAAATGACCGATAAAATTTGCAAATTGGGAACTTTCACAACTGAAAATGACGCTCTATAAAATGCTTTAACTTGGGGTATTTTTATTTACGACCCCAGTTTGCGGTTTTTTACTGTTTCAAAATCATGCACTCAGCAAAGCGAAGAAAATTTATTCTGGAAAGTTGCAAAGTGTTTACACCTTTAATTTGACAAAAGACGCCTAAGTGAAACAAATTTTGAAAAATTCTCAAAAATTACTTGACAAAAGTACAAAGTCAAAACCGTTTGCTTTTTTTTATTTTTTTACTTACCGTAAAATATTCTTTAATATGTGCGGATAACCAACGAATTAATAATCATTATTTTATAAAGTAAATTTGCAAATGTTTGAAAATAACTCTCAGCAGGAATAGACGAGCAATGAAAAGCTCTATCGAAAATACCTTCAACTTGTTCTTGCCTAAGGCAAAAACATATTGTTAAAATTAAGCTGGATGCTTGCAAACCCTTTTTATGTTTATTTTGTATTTAACATACTGTTTTTAAGCGATATCGTTACTCCTACATTTTTTTTCAGTTACTATGGATAACAATATTCAAGCTAAAGTCAGCAAGTCAGGCACATCTACTAAGGACATGACTGAACAAACTCCAACTACAAGTTTGGTAAGCTATAGGCTGAGAAGATTGTTTTATTATTTTTTTTATTTTTTATTCAGAAAAAATGCACGATAATTTTTCTAATTTTATAGACAACAAAAGACTTTTTTTTTCTACTACCGCTAACATTTCCTTATCGATGGGTCACTTCCTAAAAAGGCCATTTAGTTATATCTGGAATGGTGTAAAAAATGCGCGTTCTTGCTCATTTTGCTTCCGGGAAGTGCGCAAATTGGGACGGAAAACATGAAATTTTGGTCTGATATTTAATTTCGCTTTCTTGGTTAAAACAATAAAAGACTGAATTTCTCTTACATGGTCAAAGTTCTTATCTGCCCCGGTTTATCCAGTCTTATGCACATTGGGCAAGTGGTGAATTTTTGAATGTCTTGGTAGAAAAATGTGCAGACCTTTTTCTTTGGTAGCTGGAGCAAATCAATTTCTGATCTTTTTCCGCGCCTTTGGTATCAGAAAAATATTCTTCCGCTTTTACAAAAAAGAACTTTAACATCAATAGTCAATCAATGAACATCAACACAACTGTATATAGTAGATATATTGATGTATTTTTTATTGCAGATGGTTAACGACGCCTCGAAGCCTTCGAAGGTGCGAAGCTACGTAGCTACTGATACAGCTAGATCAACCTCAAAGAAAGCTGAGCAACTGTTGTACGTTTTCCTATGTTCAACTGTTCAGTCAGTAATTAATTGCTTGTTCTCTTAACTAGGCTGGGCCAAAGTGTGTCCCGTTCTGAAGTGAGAGGAAAGCGAAAACTGTTGGCTACTAGTCTCAGGCGAACCAAAAAACCGAAATACATGCAGGATCCAGAACCGCCAGGCTCTAAAGTCGTGGTTGAAAAAATTTATCGGGTAATTTCGGTTTCAAACAGCACAAGTGTCGGATATGCTTCACAAGGTAATTTATCATTTAACTCAATTTATAATCGATTGAATAAATCGCTTCGAAATTTATTTCCGTTGCAAGCTCCTCTTGAATACTAGTGGAATGGCGAAAAGGTAAGGTTCGTTGAGCCTCTCGACAATGAAATATATCCCAAAATGCATTTGGTTTCTTCCAAAGTGCAGAATTGAAATAAAGAATTAAGATTTATAAATGTATGTACAGCGTTAATGTCGGCTAATAATCAGTTGAATTATTTGAGGCAAAATCTTTCTACATACAAAAATAAGAAGAAAGAAAAAGAGAAGAAATACATCCCAAAATGCATTTGGTTTCTTCCAAAGTGCAGAATTGAAGTAAAGAATTAAGATTTATAAATGTATGTACAGCGTTAATGTCGGCTAATAATCAGTTGAATTATTTGAGGCAAAATCTTTCAAAGGAATTTGAAAATTGAAATGCACAGGGAAGGAGCTTCTCTAAACTTCACTTTGATGCATACCTACTCATTAGATAATCAGCGGTAAAAATAGTATTACTAGTAAAACTTAATTTTGAGTAATTTGGCAATTTTACGTTAAAAATGGGCTCCATTCATGAACATTAGTCGGATTAAACACAAGCAAAGCGTCTCTGACGAACTTATTAAATTCCTTTCCACATGAGCGAATACCAGTCGTAATAATCCAATGGAAGTCATTGATTTTGTAATATTACAGAATAGAGTAAAATCTACAAACAAGATTTGATCGGGAAAAACCTTTAATTTTACTACTACTAACAATAAGCACGATCTTTGATTAAAAAGACCACCTGGCCTAGAATTAGTCCTGATCTTTCACCGCTTGACTTTCCCCAGCTCGGTTACTTTAAAAGACTATTTTTTTCTTCAGGTTTGGATGTTTTGGAAACTCCTGTAGCCGCTGAGTCGAGTTGTAAGAATTCCCAGAAGATCTCAGTGGTTCATCCCGCTTCTCCAAGCCGCTCAAATGTTGTCGAACCCACTGTAACAAACTCTTCAGATCAAAGTCAATATCTTAATGATAGCCCAAACAAAATACCTCCATCATCATCAACAGCCTCGGGTAGGTTTGGCCAAAATCTCTCATTGTCCTTATTTTGGGAAACAGATATGAGCACTCAATGCTGCAAAGTACTACCGACCTTTGCTTATCTAAGCGCGATTAGTATTCTTGGAAGGTCCTATGAATCAGTTTTCTTGTCTGTCTGCACGTAAATCTGGCACTATTCTGGCGCCACAAGAAAGGTGATTTCGAAGAATCAATTGGGGGAATATTTTTTCCTGGAAACATTCGACACGTTGTAAATTTTTCCGAAAGTGATTCATTTGCAAAGCATGCAACTGTTGCCCTAAAGGTAGCCACATTGAAATTATAATTTCTCCTGTGGGTTTTTGTTAAGTTGCTGAATGTGCATTTGAGTGGAAGGAGCTGGTTTGGATATTTGTCTACCAATTGTCACAGACTGAAATTGGCGAGTTGAAATTAGAAAATTTTCAGATTTAGTAAATTAGAATCTATTTATTTTGGCCACACTATTTTTTTAAATTGCATTGATTGATTTATTATTTTTTAACTAATACCTGGTGACATGTGATGACCGAAAGAAAATAGCAACTAAGAAAACTTCTGCAGTCTGAACCGTTAGGATAAACACAAACATTCAGAAATTTACACATCACAAGTAGTATTAATGAAACAATTATTAATCAAGTGAAACTCGCATTATTTTGATATTTTTGGTTCCCAATTTTGAGTTTAATTATTTTATTCTAGTCGCAGGTTTCCTTGAGCATGACACCTTAGAAAAAGCATTCGAAGTACTCGATTTTCTGGAGAGCGATGCCCTAGACATTTTGATAGAAAACGTGATGAATATTGTGAACAAATTATGCGGAAGCTATTTAGAGCGCGAACTGACCGAATATTTGGGACCAATCACTTACCAGCATATAGCTGAACGTAAGTATAGGTCCATGGAAGACATTTTGCAACAGTATCAGCAGCAATTGAACTGACTATTCAAATGATCTGGTTACAGATGAAAGAATTGCCAGTTCGGCTGCAGCCAATAGGTTTTCATCATTTGATAACAAATCCAGTGAGCTTTTTATAGAAGCTGGTAAGTACGAAGTCTTTTGTGTATTTTCAATTTTTGCACTGATTTTTTTTTGGGAAATTTGTTGCAATTGTTCAATGTTTGTTGTGCTGTCTTTTTTTGTAGTTTTTCGACCCGTTTACTTTAATGACTAAAGTTGTCCGTTAACGGTTCAGGTGTTATAGAACTTTCAAAACCATCCATGAAGAACTTTCTTCCGCGAGATTCACTTGATATTTAATGTTTGTAGGAAATAGCAAAAAAATGACGATTGGAAGGTTGAAAACTCGATTAAAAAGCTGAGTGATTCTCGGGTCTTTTCAATCTTTGTGCAGACTTTTGTTGGAAAATTTGTTCTAATTTCTTTGTTGGTGCTTATTTAGTTCGAAATAGTTTCGTCTTTTGTATTGTTTTTGTTCAATTAATCAAAGAACCATTCAGTAGCTCAATGATTCTCGAGTATTTTCAATCTTTGTACTCACTTTTGTAAAATGTTTGTTCTAGTTTTTTATTCTCGCTTATTTAGTTCAAAGTATTTTCCTCTTTTGGATTACTTTTATTAACCTAAAAAAACACAGCAACACAGCATGATCAATTAATAATTGTACTGACTTTTGTTCTAGTTCCTGTGTTGGTGCTTATTTAGTTCAAAATAGTTTCGTCCTTTGCATTGCATTTATTCAATTCATCAAAGAAGAATTCAGAATCTTAATAATTTTCGGGTGTTTTCAATCTTTGTATTGACTTTTGATGGAAAACGTACTAATTCCTTTGTTAGTTCTTATTTACTTCAAAATATTTTTCTCTTTTGTATTGCTTTTATTCAATTTCTCACAATCTGAATGATACTCATATTTTCAATATTTGCACTGACTTTTGTTGGAAAATTTCTTCTAATTCCGTTGTTGGCGCTTATTTATTTCAAAATATTTTCCTTTTTTGTATTGCTTTTATTCAATTCATCAAAGAATAATTCAGAATCTTAATGATTTTCGGGTGTTTTCAATCTTTGTATTGACTTTTGATGGAAAACGTACTAATTCCTTTGTTAGTTCTTATTTACTTCAAAATATTTTCCTGTTTTGTATTACTTTTATTCAATTCTTTCACAATGAATGATACTCAAATTTCCAATATTTGCACTGACTTTTGTTGGAAAATTTGTTCTGATTCCGTTGTTGGCGCTTATTTATTTCAAAATATTTTCATCTTTTGCATTACCTTTATTCAATTCATCAAAGAATAATTCAGAATCTTAATGATTTTCGGGGTTTTCAATCTTTGTATTGACTTTTGATAAAACACGTGTTCTAATTCCTTTGTTAGTGCTTATTCAAAATATTTTCCTCTTTTGTATTGCTTTTATTCAATTTCTCACAATCTGAATGATACTCATATTTTCAATATTTGCACTGACTTTTG